TATGAAATGTGAACACTTTCCACTCACCTTATGGTTTGGGATTATAGTTTTTAACATTCAAAATACTGTCAGTGCATTTATTGTCGTCTCTTTTTAAACAAAAGGCGCAGACGTTCACAAATAATCAGAAAAGCCTCATGAGAACTTAACAGAACAATGTAGTTGCGTGAAAGAGATACGAAAATTCCATGACTTTTCAAGGCCTGGAAAATTCTCAATTTCATTTTCATTTTCTCATTTTAAATTTTTATAACTTTTCCAGGATTTCCATGACTGTGGGAATCCTGAATATGTGATATACTATTCTATACTTTTGACAATCCTACAGGTTGTAGAAAAAGAAAATTAGAACTAACTGAAACTAAAGCTAGTATCAAACCTAGATACTCATTTGAGCAGGTATCGATACCCCAGAAGCACCATTCACAGCACAGATTTGATAAAGAACTGGATTAAGTGTGACGTCACCCATAGCGTTCGCCTCCACTCAAATAAAACTCACAATGCTAACGGTTACAGGAGCGAATTTGGAGGATTTTTTGACAGACAAAATAGTGAAAAAAGAAAAAAAAAGCTCTAACCATGTAGAGCGGGTTAATACGAACATTTTAAGACCAACATGACGAGGCTCACAGCAGCAGTTACAGAGAGAGAGGACACAATATTCCAATGAAAGTCAATGGGAGTCAGGGTCAGTAAGAGCTGGGAGAGCTCTTCTTATGTCCATTTAAGATTCACAGCACAGAAATTAACCTTTCCTGAAGCTTTAGAATGACCTTGAGCTGTATCAGAACAAGTATAAGAGCACAGAGACTAGTGTACACCCATGGAGCACTATGGAACATACCTGGACCACTGACGGGTTACACACATATAACACCACATGGGGATATAAAAGAAAATACTATGATTTAATGCTGAAAATCACATTCCAGTGTCTAAAGAAAGAGTATTTTGTTATTATCATCGCGGTATCGGAATCGTTATTTAGTATAGAGTCTATTCCTTTCGAACTCGAGCTATGATGACTAGGGATGGGCATGATTAGTCCATTAATAGATAATTAATCATTAATAATTTCATCGATTACGTAAATTTTAATCGACAAACAGAATGTAGGTTGCTGTGTGTAGTGTGACCAAACAGGGTCCGTACATGTGTCTCTGCACTCAGAAGGAGCGAAACACAAACAGTCGGTCAGTCTGCAACGTACCGAAGCGCAAATGCGTATTTAACGATGACTTGTACAAGAAATTCCACGCTTTCTGTTGCGTTCGGGACAAGTGTGAGTCCATGTGCACAGTGTAAGCAACATATGTTGGTGTCCAGTGGGAAAAAGCTTTTACCAGGTGAGAGTCGCGCAATGTCGATGACGAGTCCCCACCTCCCCCCGTACGGTGTCCTGGTTTTGACAAACGCAAATCTGGTCACACTAACCTGTATTCCACTGAGTCATGTCTTTTAATCCGACAGAAATTGACCGCATCAGCGACACTAGAGCTGTATTTTTATTTTCGCTTAGTTTATGCAAATTAGTGATGCGGTTTTAAGTTTCGTTTCTGTGAGAGAAACTGAATTAAACACATTATAATGTCAAACGGGCTGATGTGGCTCTAGAGTCGTTACGGTTTATATGTCGTAAAGTTGAATTTATTTATGCAGATCAGTAGTGCAGATAGTAATAATAATGATGATCATTTTAATATAAAAACGTTAATGATTAATCAATAATCGATCGTTAATTCTTCCGACGATCGATTAAGAAAATTTCATCGAATGCCCATCCCTAATGATGACATTTACTATCATGACAACACTGATATATTGTGCGGCCCGATCACTGACAATTTGAAAGTATTAGATTTCAGTTTGATTAAGTACAAGCTGCGGAGCTCTATTGGTGCATATTGTCTTGTGCTTGGGCCCTTGGTTGTAAATCACCCATTACAATAATGTGTTTTCAATGGGTGGACTGTGAAGTGAAACTAATGTGGCTTTTATCTGCGCAGTTACTGGTCATTGCTAATGTTTTGATCAGTGGTATCGTCAGCTCGGCGGTTTGTTTACGCCTCAAACACAGCTGTAGCCTCCATAAAACCATTATTTATGCATAACTCACACTGTTGTGCAATTAATTACTGCACGGGCCTTGACTAGACTAAAGTATGAGTATTTGCACAGAAATAAAAAGTATGTAAACAACTCATAAGCATATTTTATGATATGTTTATCCAAGTGGGTATTCCCTACAACTTCAAGCTATATTTAAAGGTCCTATAGTACGCAAAACGGACTCTTGTGAGATTTAAGTCATGCTAGAATACTGTTACTAGGCCTGGGTATCATTAAGGAGTTGCCGATACGATACATACCTCGATACATAGACCATGATACAATACATAGCTCGATACAGTGCACTTTCGGGTTGATACGATACATACCTTGATACATAGGCCACGATACAATGCATATCTCGATATAGTGCACTTTCGGTTCAATAAGATACATACCTCGATACATCACGATACATTCGATACATATGGATACATACCTCGATACATAGATACGATACATACATCGATACATAGGCCCTGATACGATACATACCTCGATACATAGGCCCTGATACGATACATACCTCGATACAATGCACTTTCGGTTTGATACGATACATACCTCGATACAGTGTGCTTTTGGTTCAATACGATACATATCTCGATACATAGGCCACGGTTTGATACATAATCTCGATACAGTGCACTTTTGGTTCGACACGATACATACCTCGATACACAGGCCAATCTCGATACAGTGCACTTTTGGTTCGATACATACCTCGATACATAGGCCAATCTCGATACAGTGCACTTTTGGTTCATACTACACATACCTCGATACATAGGCCAATCTCGATACAGTGCACTTTCAGTTCAATGCGATACATACCTCGATACAAAGGCCACAATTCGATACATAGTCTTGATATAGTGCACTTTCAGTTCGACACGATACATATCTCGATACATAGGCCACAATTCGATACATATCTTGATATATGCACTTTCGGTTCGATACTTCGATCAAGGCCACAATTCGATACATAATCTCGATGCAGTGCACTTTCGGTTTGATACGATACATACCTCGATACATAGGCCACAATTCAATACATAAATCAGTCTCGATACAGTGCACTTTTGATTCGATATTACACATACCTCGATACATAGGCCAGTCTCGATACAGTGCACTTTCGGTTCGATGCAATACATACCTTGATACATAGGCTGCCGTACGATACATATCTCGATACAGTGCACTTTTGTTTCAATACGATGCATACCTCGATACATAGGCCACAATACTATACATAACTCGATACAGTGCAATTTCAGTTTGATACGATATATTTCAAATCGATTTGACACGGTTCAAATATAAAATAATGGCTAAATCATGGCTGTGATGCTAAAAGTCTTTGTTAAACCACTTCTTGTGCAAAATTAATACAAAAATCAGCAAAACAATCATCAAAACAGTGAAAATGTCAAATGTGTTGCATAAACGAGTTTCCTTCCACTAAACATACAACAAAACTATAACATTGTAACAAAATAATTTTGTAAATTAGTAAAATATACCAAAACGATATCGATACTGTATCATCACATTTAACGATACAATATATAGATATTTCGATATTTTAGCACAACCCTAACTGTTACCTCTTCACAACATATCTGGAGTTGTGTTTTGTTTCTTTCACACGTTTGAGAAATCCTTTATTATTAGCCTGTTTACATCTCCAAAACTACCTTTCATCTTTTGCTCAGTAGAAATTGGCAATTCCAGGTCTGAAATCATTCAAATGATTCTAGTGAAGTTTGGAGTTTAAAAACACAGTGGAGCGCTTCCCATATTACCACATGACATCACAAGTTGGAGCAGGTGGATTATTGTGCAGTGTTTTCAGTTTGAAAGAAGAACTCAGCCTAAACATGCAGAGTTTGTGTGTTAAACATGCGTGAACAAAACAAAACACAACTCCAGGTATGTTTTTGTGATGAGAAAATAGCGAAACACAGGCCCTTTAAATGTGTAGTCATGGTCTCAAGATTAGACAAATACAAATGTTTGGCAGGAAGGGCATCTGACATTATGCTCTGCTCATTTCTATAAGACAATAAGAGATAGAAATAAGAAGTTGTAATGGTAGCCCCAGAAATAAACTCATCTCAGTTTACATTTTGCTCATTAGAAGTTTATACTTGTAGTCAAAAATCACATCCTAATCCTACAGATAGGTGGAGCTAGTGGTGAATGGTGGTACTGCAGCAATAGAAATCTCACATCCAACAAAGCATTTGTCACAGGTCCAGTGACAGCAAGTGTTCCATAACTGTGGTATAGTGGAATCCCATTGGTCAGGGTGAGGTAAAATGGGAGGAGCTACATATGAAAACTATAGTAGGTCTATATGTATGCTCTAGGCTACTGGACACAACAACTTAAGCAAGAAGGAATGGTGTTTAAATATAAGTTATGCACAGTATAGTTCACTTGCTGTTCCTGATTTGTTCTATAGTGATAGTGATGCCATGACAACAAATTACACTCTCAGAAATCAATGTCCACAATCACTTTCCAGATGTCCACTGATGAGGAAACTAGTGGTGAAAGTTGGTACTGCAGCAACAGAAATCTCACATTCACCACATCATTTGACACTTTAAAGACCCAATGACAGCCAGTGTTCCATAACTGTAGTATAGTGAAAGCCCATTGGTCAGACTGGGGGTAAAGTGGGAGGGGCTAAATATGAAAACTATAGTATAAGTATGCTCTAGTAATCCAAGACGAATTTCTCTATAATTGGAGACAATAAAGGCTTATCTTACATAAAATAGCAAAAGCAATAGTTAGCATTAAATTATCTGTTATTACACACATGTGACATAGACATGACAGCAGATCGAATGGACACACGTGAATAGGCTCACCTTTCATTTCGCAGCAGTCCTTGGGTGCTCTGGAGTCGGCTTTGATTGGCAGCTGCAGCAGAGACTTGAGGTTGGTCATAGAGGTCAGGTGACTTCCTTGGGGGCCACTTATGGCGGGGTTACTGGCCCCAAACTGGGGACTGGTGGCCCCTGCAGGGAGATCCGGAGGCAGGAGCTGCGTGAGAGGCCTTGACATAACTTCTTCCACGGGGAGGAGGGGGCAGCGGGGAGGCGGGCTTCAGGAGAGCGCAACCTGCAGCCTCTAAGTTCAAGATCACAATAATCCAATTAGCGGAATAAGTGACAGGCGAGACGTCAAAAGCTGCGAGTTCTGACGTGTTTACGCACAAGATCCACGGGTGACAGCTCTACCTGACATGACTAAAACTATCATGAAAAACACACAATAAACGCTTTATCTCCAAAATGGCACCATGTTGGCACAGAGAGTCTTAAATCATCCTTAAATGTGGCTGGCGCGATGCAGAGCCAGAGCCCAGTGCCCGGGTAAGTTTGTAGAGGCTCGTCTGGTCACTTGGACGCACAATGTGAACTCCTCCGAGGGGGATGAGAGGCGAAGCAAAGCGGAATAAGCGCTGATGACTGCCCGCACATTCAGCGAGCAGAAACGAGAGGATTAGCAGCTATTCCAGACGCACAGAGAGACAAAATGACAAAACAGAGGATGAGATGTGTAGGAGAAACCAAGAGGCGATCCCACAAAAATAAAGATAAATCCGGTGGAGCGCGCGCCGCGGAGATGGGGCTGCAGCCTGGTATTTTCCTCCCTCCCTCTCTCCTTCTCTCTTTTTTCTCCCTATCTCTCTCCTTTCTTTCAAACACTCGCTTCTCTCTATTTTCTGCCTCGCTCCTCGCGTTTGCCGTCAGTCAGCTGGAACCAACACGGGCCACGGGCGTGACGTCACCGCTCACGGGGAACGGCGCTCGGGGGGCGGGGCTCATTTGCATACACAGGGCACGCCTCCCTCCTGCACAGCTCTGTCTATGAGCGACACACAGGCACTTTCACTGATAGGCAATAAGAAATAGTCAAATTGAGAAACATATTTAGGAATTCAATTTACGCACAAGAAAAGCTACGTTTTACACTACGATTTATTGTCTGAATACAGTCAAAATGTGGATTAACGAGCTTGTTTTAGGCTCTAACATCTAAGATATCATCAACACAGCTATATAGAAAACTGAGAAGGCAGTAAATACAGAACGCATATTTAAAAAAACAGCTTTGCGCAATTAAATGGCTAAGAAAAAACATTAAATGAACTAATCTCTGCTTCGTTTTTCTATCTGTATTATCCTTTTCTTTATTCCCAAGCACCTGAAGAGGCTCATTAATATGTATCACCTCATTATCTCCTCAGCCAATGAACGAAAAGCAGCCCGGGGTCCCCGCCCTCTCCAGCTGGCGGCTTCTTTCTGGTTGGTCCTCCTCCTTCTCCTTCTCTCACGCTGTCAGTGCAACAACAATCAACCACCACCTCAAAAACTCATTGCAAAACACATTCAATGCATATTCATAACGCACATGAATCACACATCGCTATAATAACAGAAACTAGGCAGTACGGGACATTTTACGCACTTCATTTCGTGCGTAAAAGGATTGACAGTGATCCAAAATGCTAAATTCTAAGCGTTAACTGTAACGTAGCGCATTGAATCCACGGTTTAAGTGTTTTCTGTTATAAATCAGCGCCTTTACGAGCTGCCCCGTCTGTACTCTCCTGTCATCCCTCCTCGAGAAGCACATGGCTCTTGCACGGGGCCGTTGTTGCCTACCGGCGACTGCGCTGCGCCGCGATTGGCTGAATCTAGGTCAGTCGCTGCCTCTGCCTCGCTCCCATTGGCTGAAAATAGGTCAGAGTTCCCGCCCACAGGTTTTCCCCCATGCTACATCCGCGTGACTGGCTGGACACGGGCAGAGGACCGCGTGGATTAGCGTTTCACCTCGTGTCATCAGTAAACAACTCACTCTGGGGATGGCAAAGTCTGACAGAAAATCCAGCATGCGGGATGATTACTCTGGTATATGGCAACCCCTGCTAAAAGCTCTTTAAGTATTATGGACGTGCAGACAAAGCAGAGCAGCTTTCAAATTCAAAGCCATTTAAATAATAATTACGCACGGGTCCATCCAGACAATTGCCTATTCAGTGCGTTCATTAGTATGGAGTTAATACTTACTAACCCAGTGAAAAGCTAAGTGGCATTTACTGTAATCAGATGAACATTTTTTTTAAAGGTTTGTGGCCCCAAAAATGTAAATATTTAATTTACAGGATAAAACAAACATAAACTGATATACCAAAACGGTTACTACGTTACTATCCAAATTGTAAAACAGTCAGAGTTCAATAAATAGCATCAGGTTGCCTCTTAAAGCCAGATAAGTTTGTAATAATGTGTAAATAGGCATTTCTGATCTAAATCAGAGGTTAGTGTGTGTACAGTGAGCATTGAGCATGCAGAAATAGCCGGGGCTGGGATCGTAAACTCGCTGGAGAGCCTTGTCAGTTGTGGCGCAGTAAAATTACTCAGCACATTTCTCTGTTTTTCCTCACACACGTCTATAAACTGCTATGTGCCACAACTCTCAGAAGTGAAGGAGGGAGGGAGAGAGAGATAGAGGGAGGAGGGAGAGAGAAGAGAAGGAACTGCAAAGGTTTTCCCCCCTCTGAAAATCTGCATATGCGTTGATTTGGCTCCATCTAGTGGACGTTTATCGGTATGGCACGGACATTAGGCAGATGACTATTACTAGTATGTTCATGTAGCAATAGTGGTGAAAGTTATGGGCCACTTTTTATACAAGTCCCTTTACAAATGTTATATAGCCTGGTAGTAGCCTATTCATTTTTACTGACATATTATTATGCATACAGCGCCAGCCCATTTTGGAGAGAAATTAGAAAAGCCCAGCCCTACATACATCATTAATTGAATACATGACTGATTAATGACCTTTTAAAGAAGCAATACTTAATGGAGATCCAATTAGTAGGCTACTGCAAAGCAATACCTTTGGGAAAAAGTAATTTAGTACTAACTTCATAAATTATGAGCAAAAATTATAGATGGTTAACGAGTCATTTTTGAGCCATTATTTGCCAGTGTAGTGGAGGTAACATCTACGTACAGTATAGATCACCAGATATGCAATTTGTGATGGTATGTATGCTCAGCGTTAGCTTTGTTTAAATTTGTTTAATTAAATGTTTAATTAAACTTGAATATCACACTCAATTCTTTTTCTATCATGATGAAAACAACTTGAAAATGTCTTTAGGCACCTGTTCAGTTTCATCTTAAAATGTTACACTTCCAGTATACCAGAAATTGTGTAAACTCTCGAGCTTTTTATTTGATTTTAGCGTTCAACAACTCACTTTATGTAGAGAAAATGAATAGTACTTTAGTAATAATATTACATGTTTTAGTTTAACAGGAAAAAGAACAACACTTGGACAGGACCTAAGTATAAACTATGTGTACACACATCATTACAAAACTGCAGCGCGTGGTAAAGTACAGAAAATATCACAGATACACAGCCCTCCCAAATACAAACCCTCCCCTGGACAAGAACAGTACAAGAAATCATGTGTAAAAAACATCAGATAAATCAGGACACAATAAAATATATTATGAATTATACAGTACACTGTCATCTGTGGAGTCCTTTTTACATCCTGAAGACTTTAACAGTTTTAGTCGAGTTTTACTGTGCAATACAAAACGTTCTCCCGAGTTTTCAGTCTCGAGCTCAGTATTTTTGAGTCGCTTCACAAATTAAAGTCATTGTTGACTGTCAGATCAGGATTGGGCAATGCTGTCGTTCTTAACTAGGAAGAGCTTCCATTTATAAAACAAGCAAAGACAACTGGAAACATAAAACAAAATATAATTATTCTGTAAATGATGTAACAAATAAAAATAAATCTCAGGTCTACAGTGGGCTTTTCATGAATAAATACTGTGTAAATACTACGTATAAATCCACGCAGTATTAATACTACGTTTAAAAGAAATAGAGTTTTTGTGATAGCTGCTACTGAAAGTCCTGCACCTCTTCAGAGGTGACATCTGTGAAGGTGGTTTTGATTATAGGCCTTTTAAAGTCCAAGCTAACTACAGCCACCAACACGCTTAAGGTTAACCAGGTTTACTAAACCAGCCTGTGTCCACCAGCAAAGCACTATGTTAGCTCAGGCCTCTGTAATGAGAAATGACCAAACCTAAAGACTAAAACATTACTGAGTGTAGTCTGAGAGCAGGGCTGCCCTGTCAGGAGAGATTAGCTGGGGCACAGACAGGTGCTCTGCGTCCTGGTTGTGAGGGGGGGATGTTTTAAGGTTCATGAGTCCCCAGTGGACAGGCGCTGTCACTGCAGTGGCCCTGCGGCAGCAGAACTTGTGTCGAGCCAGGAGCTCAGGGCTCCAGAAACAGTGGCGACACTTGAGGCACTGGAAAGAGGCCTGTCTCAGGTGAGCTCCACGGTGCCTCAGAGCTCTGAGCAGAGAGCGAGAGCGCTTCCCACAGACAGAACAGCGCAGGCGCGATGAGCCGCCTCGGGGCTGGTGTCTCAGTGCATAGTGCAGCCGCAGCAGCCCCTCTTTGGAGAAGGTGCTGCAGGAGCACATGGGGCAGGGGAAGCGTTTGAGGGACACAGTCAGAGAGCTGAGTCCAGACACTTTGACAGCTCCTCCTCTCCAGGACTTCACTTTGACCTGACTGCCTTTGGCCCTCAGCTGGGCCAACATCTTCCTCCTGTTGATTTGCGCCTGGAGCCTGCCCCTCCTCCTCTTCAGCATCAGCAGCTTCCTCCTGGTCTCTTTACTCAGGGGCACGCCCACCAGCTTCCCGTCCCTCATGATGCTGTGGATGACCACGCGCCTCTTCTTTCTCCGCTTTGTGCTCGGTGCATGTTGGCTCTGAAAGTCTTTTGGGTGGTAGTGGAAGGGGTGCTGCAGGGGTTGTGTGTGGGGCTGCTGATGCTGCTGTGGGGAGGGGTTTGGTTGCATGTGTGATGTCCCTGCGTAAGGGTGCCCTGAGCCTGAGTCGTAGTACAGGGGGGAGTACCCTGTGTGCTGAGGCTGGGCCTGGGGGACCTTCTGGCCGCTGCGGTCCATGCCGTGTTGGGACAGTTTGTGGCGCACCAGGCTGTTGGAGTAGGCGAAGGCTTTTCCACAGACCTCACAGCGATAGTTCTTCTCCAGCCCCACCCCTCCACCGTGCACAGTCTGAGTGTGAGCCGTCAGGTGGAAGTAGTGTCTGAAGGACTTCCAGCACACTGTGCAGGTGTAGATGCGTTGTGTGGGCGTGCCCGTCGTGGGGGACTTTTCCTCTTGGGAGCAGGAGGAGTAATATTCTGAGTTCTCAGAGTTCACTTTATTTAAACTGGCTGCGCCTTTAATGCGTCGGCCCTGAGAGTCGATCTCTCCTCTTCGGTGCAGTTTGCCATGGCGGACCAGGCTCTGTGCGTAGGCAAACAGTTTTCCGCACAGGTTGCACTTGTAGTTCTTGACACCAGAGTGCACGGTCAGGTGCTTGGTGAGGTGGAAGGGCTCTCTGAAATTCTTCCCACAGACGTCACAGGTGTGGGGCTTCTCTCCGGTGTGGATGCGGTGGTGTCTGCGCAGAGTCTCCGCTCTCCTGAAGCATTTACCACAAACCTGGCAACCGTACGGCCGGTCACTGTTATCACTGGGAGGCAGAGGACTGCGCCTCCTCCGCACCACAGATCCAGGCTCTCTCTTCTCTCTGGGTTTCCTGGGCCTTCTTGGTTTGACCTGGGGCTGGCTGGGGTGGGTTAAAGGCATGGTGGCTCCGTTTAGTGTCACTGTGGAGGATGGTCCTCC